CCAACAAAGGGTATATAACAAAGTATTGAGAAACTTTTGTTATTGACCAAATACTTATTTTTCACCATTATTTGCAAATAAATTCATTAAAAATCCTACAATGTGATTTTCAGGATTTTTTTTTCTAATTCTGTCTGTCATAGTTGACGTGTACCTATGATGAAAATTACAGGCCTCTCTCATCTTTTTAAGTGGGAGAACTTGCGCAATTGGTGGCTGACTAAATACTTTTTTCCCCACTGTGTATATATATATATATATATATATATATATATATATATATATATATATATATATATATATATATATATGGTGTATATATATATATGGTATATATACAGTGCATTCAGTGCATTCAGACCCCTTGACTTTTTCCACATTTTGTTATGTTTCAGCCTTATTCTAAAATGGATTAAAAAATTAAATCCTCATCAAGTTGCATACAATACTCCATAATGAGTGAAAACAGGCTTTTAGAATTTTTTGCAAATGTATTAAAAACAAAAAACAGAAATACCTTATTTATATAAGTATTCAGACCCTTTGCTATGAGACTCGAAATTGAGCATCCTGTTTCCGTTGATCATCCTTAAGATGTTTCTACAACTTGGAGTCCACCTGTGGTAAATTCAACTGATTGGACACGATTTGGCAAGGCACACACCTGTCTATATAAGGTCCCACAGTTGACAGTGCATGTCAGAGCAAAAACCAAGCCATGAGGTCGAAGGAATTGTCTGTAGAGCTCCGAGACAGGAACGTTTCGAAGCACAGATCTGGGGAAGGGTACCAAAACATTTCTGCAGCAAGACTCTTCCTAGAGCTGGCCGCCTGGCCAAACTGAGCAATCGGGGGAGAAGGGCCTTGGTCAGGGAGGTGACCAAAAACCCTAAGGTCACTCTGACAGAGCTTCAGAGTTCCTCTGTGAAGATAGGGGAACCTTCCAGAAGGACAACCATCTCTGCAGCACTCCACCAATCAGGCCTTTATGGTAGAGTGGCCAGACAGAAGCCACTCCTCAGTAAAAGGCACATGACAGCCCGCTTGGAGTTTGCCAAAGGCACCTAAAGGACTCTCAAACCATGAGAAACAAGATTCTCTGGTCTGATGAAACCAAGATTGAACTCTTTGGCCTGAATGCCAAGCGTCACGTCTGGAGGAAACCTGGAACCATCTCTACGGTGAAGCATGATGGTGGCAGCATCATGCTGTGGATATGTTTTTCAGCTGCATGGACTGGGAGACTAGGCAGGATCGAGGGAAAGATGAGCGGAGCAAAATACAAAGAGAACCTTGATGAAAACCTGCTCCAGAGCACTCAAGATCTCAGACTGGGGCGAAGGTCCACCTTCCAACAGGACAATGACCCTAAGCACACAGCCAAGACAACACAGGAGTGACTTCAGGACAAGTCTCTGAATGTCCTTGAGTGGCCCAGCCAGAGCCCGGACTTGAACCCGATCGAACATCTCTGGAGAGCCCTGAGAATAGCTGTGCAGCGAATGCTCCCGATCCAACCTCACAGAACTTGAGAGAGAAGAATGGGAGAAACTCCCCAAATACAGTTGTGCCAAACTGCATGTAGCGTCATTCCCAAGAAGACTCGAGGCTGTAATCGCTGCCAAAGCTGCTTCAACAAAGTACTGAGTAAAGGGTCTGAATACTTATGTAAATGTTATATTTCAGTGTTTTATTTTTAATACATTTGCAAAGATATCTAAAAACTTGTTTTTGCTTTGTCATTATGGGGTATTGTGTGTAGATTGATGAGGAATTATTATTTTTTAAATCCATTTTAGAATAAGGCTGTAACGTAAGTCAAGGGGTCTGAATACTTTCAGAATGCACGTATATACTCTGGACTCCGACATTGCTCGTCCTACTATTTCTATATTTCTTAATTCCATTATTTTACTTTTTAGATTTGTGTGTACTGTTAGATATTACTGCACTGTTGGAGCTAGGAACACAAGCATTTTGCTACACCCGCAATAACATCTGCTAAGTATGCGACCAATAATTGTATTTTATTTGATATTTGAGTGACTCAAACATTACAACAAAATCTAAGGGCTAACAAACTTAGCTAAAAAACATTAGCTGACATGGGCTAGTTGATATGGACATTTCTGACAAGTTATAAATAGCTCTCTAAGGTATGCATTGATTGACATGACAACAGGAAAACTTATGATGCACTACCCAATTTCGAACTTGCACCTTGTGCATTCTACTATTACAACTTTCAAGAGCAAGTTGAAAGCCGGAATGAGTTCCAAAAAGGGAAGGGGGGACCCCCCCCCCGCCGACCCACCCCACAGTTTGGGAACCACTGTCTTAAGACTATGTAATAATAAGAGTATGTTTATTTGTCGGTAATCATGTGAGTGAGACTCGCCTTATTTGAGCGGATCAAAGCCTCCTCAGCTGTCTTACGGTCACAGGTGCTGGCATACCAGGGTTTCTTGAAGACATCTGCCCCCTAATAACAACAACAAAAATACAGCAACAAGAAAGTGGGTTTAAAGTCAAGTCCATGTGGCTCTGAAAATACAGCCTTTGCGGTCTCCACAAACTTAATAGTGTATTCATCCATGCATTGTGTATGTGATAACCAGTATTTTGAGCTATATCATTGTATGTTATATAGTACATAAAATTGTGAAATTCAGGTCAGGTATTTATCACCTCTTCAGCATCCGTTAACCTGTTTTCAGCTGTGGGTACAGTTCCTCTGTCTGGTTCTGAGAATGAGAAAACAGTGAAGGGAAAAATTATAAAGTTAAATAATCATTTGGGGCTATATCGGCTATATCTGTCCGCTAACACAGGATTAGTAAAGGCCCAGTGCACTACTTTTGTGAAAAAATATTGTTTTCAAATTATTTTAGATTTTTTTTATTAATCTATGGACACACCTACTCATTCCAGGGTTTATCTTAATTTTTACTATTTTCTACACTGTAGAATAATAGTGAAGACATCAAAACGGCAGGTAGCTTAGTGGGTAAGAGCGTTGTGCCAGTAACCGAAAGGTCGCTGGTTCTAATCCCCGAGCCGACTAGGTGAAAAATCTGTCGATGTGCCCTTGAGCAAGGCACTTAACCCTAATTGCTCCTGTAAGTCGCTCTGGATAAGAGCGTCTGCTAAATGACTAAAATGTAATGTAAATGTAAAACTATGAAATAACACATCTGGAATCATGTAGTAACCAAAAAAGTGTTAAACAAAACAAAAAATATTTTATATTTGAGATTCTTCAAAGTAGCCACCCTTTCCTTTGATGACAGCTTTGCACACTCATGGCATTCTCTCAACCAGCTTCATGAGGTAGTCACCTGGAATGCATTTCAATTTACAGGTGTGCCTTGTTAAAAGTTAATTTGTGGAATTTCTTTCCTTCTTAATGCGTTTGAGCCAATAAGTTGTGATGTGACAAGGAAGGGGTGGTATACAGAAGATAGCCCTATTTGGTAAAAGACCAAGTCCATATTATTGTAAGAACAGCTCAAATAAGCAAAGAGAAATGACAGTCCATCATTACTTTAAGACATGAAGGTCAGTCAATCCGGAATATTTCAAGAACTTTTAAAGTTTCTTGAAGTGCAGTCGCAAAAACCATCAAGCGTTATGATGAAACTGGCTCTCATGAGGACCGCCACAGGAATGGAAGACCCAGAGTTACCTCTGCTGCAGAGGATAAGTTCATTAGAGTTAACTGCACCTCAGATTGCAGCCCAAATAAATGCTTTACGGAGTTCAAGTAACAGACACATCTCAACATCAACTGTTCAGAGGGGACCGCGTGAATCAGGCCTTCATGGTCGAATTGCTGCAAATAAACCACTACTAAAGGACACCAAAAGAAGAAGAGACTTGCTTGGGCCAAGAAACACGAGCAATGTATATTTGACCGGTGGAAATCTGTCTTTTGGTCTGATGAGTCCAAATTTGAGATTTTTGGTTCCAACCGCCGTGTTTTTGTGAAACGCAGAGTAGGTGATTGGATGATCTCCGCATGTGTGGTTCCCACCGTGAAGCATGGAGGAGGAGGTACGATGGTGTGGGGGTGCTTTGCTGGTTATACTGTCAGCAATTTATTTAGAATTCAAATCACACTTAACCAGCATGGCTACCACAGCATTCTGCAGCGATATGCCATCCCATCTGGTTTGCGCTTAGTGGGACTATCATTTGTTTTTCAACAGGACAATGACCCAAAACACACCTCCAGGCTGTGTAAGGGCTATTTGACCAAGGAGAGGGATGGAGTGCTGCATCAGATGACCTGGCCTCCACAATCACCCGACCTCAACCAAATTGAGATGGTTTGGGATGAGTTGGACTGCAGAGTGAAGGAAAAGCAGCCAACAAGTGCTCAGCATATGTGGGAACTCCTTCAAGACTTTTGGAAAAGCATTCCTCATGAAGCTGGTTGAGAGAATGCCAAGAGTGTGCAAAGCTGTCATCAAGGCAAAGGGTGGCTACTTTGAAGAATCTCAAATATAAAATATATTTGTTTAACACTTTTTTGGTTACTACATGATACCATATGTGTTATTTCATAGTTTTGATGTCTTCACTATTATTCTACAATGTAGAAAATAGTAAAAATAAAGATAAACCCTTGAATGAGTAGGTGTGTCCAAACTTTTGACTGGTGCTGTATATACATTTTTTTGTATATTCAGGGGGGTGCTGCAGCATGCTTAGCACCGGTACTTCCCACAGCTATGGACACAAGTCTCTCAGACCAGTACTTACTGTGAGAGGTAAACATCTGTGGCCGAGGAATCCTGCAGTAGAGAAAACAAGAATATACTGTAATTTGCCAGGACACTGAGGTTTGAGGAAACGTACAGTGCTGTGGTTACAAACAGCATTCTGTCATTCCAAGATAATTGATATTGGCCTTTTCCCAGGTCAGTTTGTGCTGTCTTGCAAACAGATCTGGGACCAGGCTGGAAAGAGATATGTGCGTGCAAAATAGTGACTTCTAATGAGGTCATGATGTTTCTTACTTGGCACGTTTGTATTCAGAGGGCTGGGGTGTGGTCGTGGGTTTCTGGGTACTGTGCCTCATGGCCAATGCTGGGCCTGTCGACATAGCAAGAGTGTGTGTTACAGTAGCCTAATATTATGCAAGTGGATGACTGCATAAAATATGTAAAACTTTATAACTTAGGTAAATTCATTAAATCTTTGAACAACAAATTAAAACAAATGAAGCTTTGATCCAATTGAGCACTCTAATAGTTTAGGAATAGTTACCTTCATTTTCCCTGGATGCAATATCTTGCCTCTGAAAAAAGACAAAACATTATAATTCTACACCATTTCCCATATAATTTTGAATTTCACTGGTTTTTTTCTCCAAAGGATCTTTTAGAGATTTCCTACCGGCCTAAAAGATGGCTTCAATGGCTTCCTAAAATAGAGAGGTTTAAGTGAGTTAAGTAATACCTGGAACCAGACCTTTCCGGCACTCTTAACTGAACGAGCGGCCCGCAATTAACAGAAAATAAATGATATATGATTTTAGTGAGTGACACGTACGTCTCTCTGGGCATTGGTTTGGGAAACGCAGGCAGGGGCTTCTCACCAGACTTTGTACTGCCACCTAGAAGAACAGATGACATACAAAATGTGCACACATACTCATAGTGTCTTACACTGGGGAGTTCTCTTAAGTAACACAATGCTCTTTTAAGATATTTTATGCTCTTTGCACTGTTTTAACTTCCATTCATTGTTATGTATGTTGTGTTGTGTCTCATGTATGTGTACCTACACTGCTCAAAAAAATAAAGGGAACACTAAACTAACACATCCTAGAACTGAATGAATGAAATAATCTTATTAAATACTTTTTTCTTTACATAGTTGAATGTGCTGACAACAAAATCACACAAAAATGATCAATGGAAATCAAATGTATCAACCCATGGAGGTCTGGATTTGGAGTCACCCTCAAAATTAAAGTGGAAACCCACACTACAGGCTGATCCAACTTTGATGTAATGTCCTTAAAACAAGTCAAAATGAGGCTCAGTAGTGTGTGTGGCCTCCACATGCCTGTATGACCTCCCTACAACGCCTGGGCATGCTCCTGATGAGGTGGCGGATGGTCTCCTGAAGGATCTCCTCCCAGACCTGGACTAAAGCATCCGCCAACTCCTGGACAGTCTGTGGTGCAACGTGGCGTTGGTGGATGGAGCGAGACATGATGTCCCAGATGTGCTCAATTGGATTCAGGTCTGGGGAACGGGCGGGCCAGTCCATAGCATCAATGCCTTCCTCTTGCAGGAACTGCTGACACACTCCAGCCACATGAGTTCTAGCATTGTCTTGCATTAGGAGGAACCCAGGGCCAACCGCACCAGCATATGGTCTCCCAAGGGGTCTGAGGATCTCATCTCGGTACCTAATGGCAGTCTGGCTACCTCTGGTGAGCACATGGAGGGCTGTGCGGCCCCCCAAAGAAATGCCACCCCACACCATGACTGACCCACCGCCAAACCGGTCATGCTGGAGGATGTTGCAGGCAGCAGAACATTCTCCACAGCGTCTCCAGACTGTCACGTCTGTCACATGTGCTCAGTGTGAACCTGCTTTCATCTGTGAAGAGCACAGGGCGCCAGTGGCGAATTTGCCAATCTTGGTGTTCTCTGGCAAATGCCAAACGTCCTGCATGGTGTTGGGCTGAAAGCACAACCCCCACCTGTGGACGTCGGGCCCTCATACCACCCTCATGGAGTCTGTTTCTGACCGTTTGAGCAGACACATGCACATTTGTGGCCTGCTGGAGGTCATTTTGCAGGGCTCTGGTAGTGCTCCTCCTGCTCCTCCTTGCACAAAGGCGGAGGTAGCAGTCCTGCTGCTGGGTTGTTGCCCTCCTACGGCCTCCTCCACGTCTCCTGATGTACTGGCCTGTCTCCTGGTAGCGCCTCCATGCTCTGGACACTACGCTGACAGACACAGCAAACCTTCTTGCCACAGCTCGCATTGATGTGTCATCCTGGATGAGCTGCACTACCTGAGCCACTTGTGTGGGTTGTAGACTCCGTCTCATGCTACCACTAGAGTGAAAACACCGCCAGCATTCAAAAGTGACCAAAACATCAGCCAGGAAGCATAGGAACTGAGAAGTGGTCTGTGGTCACCACCTGCAAAACCAGTCCTTTATTGGGGGTGTCTTGCTAATTGCCTATAATTTCCACCATTTGCACAACAGCATGTGAAATGTATTGTCAATCAGTGTTGCTTCCTAAGTGGACAGTTTGATTTCACAGAAGTGTGATTGACTTGGAGTTACATTGTGTTGTTTAAGTGTTCCCTTAATTTTTTGAGCAGTGTACATTATATGTATGCTGCGTTCTTGGCCAGGGCTCACTTGAAAAAAGAGATGTAAATCTCAATGTGACTTATCTGGTTAGATAAAAGATAAATAAATAAAATAATCATGGAAATAGCAGAGTAGTGTTGGCAAAGTGAATGAGATGGTTCCGTTTTGCATTAAATACAAATGTTGTCAATCCACTAGATGGCGGAAGAAGCCAAGTGAAGTAACTACCAATACAGTACAGTACTTCAAATATTTGGAGGATATGGAACAATGTTCTTTGACAATAGTTGTTTGTAGTCTTTTAGAACTTGTTATTGGCATATTATTGTTTGAACGTTTAGTCATTTGGCTGATGGTGGTAATATGGATGAATACATACTTTCATCTGGATTGCAGACTTCATATTCATCATCATCTATGGGCTCCTGGACCTGGATGACAATAATAATACATAAAAACTATATGATTCCAGTGTTCATAATATCCAATATTTTCTTTACTTTTCTATTATTATCTCATCAAATAAGCTATTTGTGGTCAGGTACAAAAACTAGGGTCTCTCTGATACAGTAGCACTTACCGGGATGGGTGGAAATGTCTTTATGTGCATTCTAGAGAGAGAAGATCAAATATAAATGATTCATGTAAGTGTGACAATGAAACTGAAGAAAACAACCTCATGTTTAGTAAATAGTTTATCTTTAAATAGTTATCATGTATAAAATAGTTTTCCCGGTCTCTTGAATAAGTTGTAGTCATTATTAGCACCTTGGGCTGGCTCTAGGGGTCAAACCCTGTGCAGGGACTTTGAGTGTGGAAGGTCTGTTAAAAAATGTGTTAGAAAAAACTGTCATTTTAGTATCTCATCCATCATTTTAAGCAATGAATATACACTGAGTTTACAAAACATTAAGAACACTGCTCTTTCCATGACATAGACTGATCAGGGGAATCCAGCTGAAAGCTATGATCCCTTATGGATGTCACTTGTTAAATCCACTTCAGTCAGTGTAGATGAAGGGGAGGAGACGGGTTAAAGAAGGGTTTTTAAATCCAGTTTTTCAAGAACTGCAACGCTGCTGGGTTTTTACGCTCAACAATTTCCCTGTGTATCAAGAATGGTCCACCACCCAAAGGACATCCAGCCAACATGACACATCTGTGGGAAGCATTGGAGTCAACATGGGCCAGCATCCCTGTGGAACGCTTTTGACACCTTGTAGAGTCCATGCCCCGACGAATTGAGGCTGTTCTGAGGGCAAAAGGGGGGTGCAACTCAATATTAGGAAGGCGTTCCTAATGTTTGGTAAACTCAGTGTATCTTTAGATATTTCCCTTACAGGAAATGTTGATCCCTTTTGACCCTGTCTGAAAAGTGCTACGATCCTTGAACCAGAACTGACCTGCTCACTGGGGGAGGAGAGTTTTCCTTAAGATAAAAGAGAAAATGGGACACATTAAGCATAATCCTACAGTTATTGCATAGTCATTAACTATACTATTAATTGTAATGTATTAGCCATTGGTTATCAAACCCACCTCCATGTCAGGAACTTCATACACATCTAAAAAAAAAAAAAGAACAAAAAAAGACTAAGCCTCAAAGTTAGGAATATAGGAGAGCAGGGTTCTAACCCAGTCGTCCACACTAAGCACAATACATTTATTAAATCCCCCAAAACAATTCCATATATTCAGTGCTCCTGCTGAGATGCAGTTACATACCTGGGCTATTTGAGCGCTCTGGCACAGTCTTAGACATTGAAGGACTGCTCTTTACTGGTTTGCCTCTTCCATGCCTTAGACGGTCTGAAGGGAAGTTTACATTTGTATTGTATGTTGACATTGGGGTGTCTTGGTAAGGTTTGTCTGACAGTGATTGGCAACAGATGAAAATGTGCAATGGGTTTCATGACACCTGTATGTTGAAGATAATATAATTGACGCACATAGTGCACTTTATATATTGGTCTTATTTCCAGTGTCTGATTCATTTATTGGTATAACGTACTAGCAGGAGGATCCTCGGTGGGGTCTATATAGTTGTCTTCATCATCACTTTCTGGTTTGACGTAGTCTTCCTAAAGAGAGCAGATCATATAATGTCATGAAAAATACGAGGCAAAGAATCTGTCAATATGCTGCCATAAATGTATGACAGATAACATATTTTCATGACAGCAGAAACCAACAAGAATCATTGTTATTACTACACAGTACTTCATCGTCGTCCTGCTGGTTGGGTTTGGGGGGAAGTGATGGTGATGGTCTGGAGGGTTTTGGTGGGTAGATGGGCTTCCTGGGTGGGTCGTTTGGCCTACCATGGCAGCTGTCTGGAAAAAGAAGCAGAATCAGAAACAGGACGTCAGTATTTGCATAACGCAAGAACACACTGTCTTTGTGGCGCACTGTGTCTGTCACAGTCCACTGACTATTGGCTTTTATCAACACAAAGATCTCTGAGTGGTCTCTCAACAAGCCAAACAATATCTTAGCAATTTCTTTCACTCCTGCAAGAATTTTGAAAATGTATGGTTTATATATTTGTCCTAAACAAACAGATTTTACATTAAATGTGTTGCTTTCGAATAGATACATGTAGATAGAGGCTAGAGTAGTCTTGAATAGCCAGGCATGGTATTCTTAATTTGCTACCTAAAACCTTGGCATGCATGGCTGCATGATGGGTAGTTTTGTGTATGTATGTATGTATGTATGTATGTATGTATGTATGTATGTATGTATGTATGTATGTATGTATGTATGTATGTATGTATGTATGTATGTATGTATGTATGTATGTATGTATGTATGTATGTATGTATGTATGTATGTACAGTACCAGTCAAAAGTTTGGACACACCTACTCATTCAAGGGTTTTTCTTTATTTTTACTATTTTTTACATTGTAGAATAATAGTGAAGAAGTCAAAACTATGAAACAACACATATGGAATCATGTAGTGACCAAAGAAGTGTTAAACAAATCAAAATATATTTTATATTTGAGATTCTTCAAATAGCCACCCTTTGCCTTGATGACAGCTTTGCACACTCTTGGCATTCTCTCAACCAGCTTCACCTGGAATGCATTTCCAACAGTCTTGAAGGAGTTCCCACATATGCTGAGCACTTGTTGGCTGCTTTTCCTTCACTCTGCAGTCCGACTCATCCCAAACCATCTCAATTTGGTTGAGGTTGGGGGATTATGGAGGCTAGGTCATCTGATGCAGCACTCCATCACTCTCCTTCTTGGTAAAATAGCCCTTACACAGCCTGGAGGTGTGTTGGGTCATTGTCCCGTTGAAAAACAAATGATAGTTCCACTAAGCCCAAACCAGATGGGATGGCGTATCGCTGCAGAATGTTGTAGTAGCCATGCTGGTTAGGTGTGCCTTGAATTCAAAATAAATCACAGACAGTGTCATGAGCAAAGCACCCCCACACCATAACACCTCCTCCTCCATGCTTTACGGAGGAAAATACACATGCGGAGATCATCCGTTCACCCACACCGCGTCTCACAAAGACGTCTCACAAAATCTCAAATTTGGACTCCAGACCAAAGGACAAATTTCCACCGGTCTAATGTACATTTCTTGTGTTTCTTGGCCCAAGCAGGTCTCTTCTTCTTATTGGTGTCCTTTAGTAGTGGTTTCTTTGCAGCAATTCGAACCATGAAGGCCTGATTCACACAGTCCCCTCTGAACAGTTTATGTTGAGATGTGTCTGTTACTTGAACTCTGTGAAGCATTTATTTTGGCTGCAATTTCTGATTCTGGTAACTCTAATGAACTTATCCTGCAGCATAGGTAACTCTGGGTCTTCCATTCCTTTGGCGGTCCTCATGAGAGCCAGTTTCATCATAGCGCTTGATGGTTTTTGCGACTGCACTTGAAGAAACTTTCAAAGTTCTTGAAATGTTCCGTATTGACTGACCTTCATGCTTTAAGTAATGATGGACTGTCATTTCTCTTTGCTTATTTGAGCTGTTCTTGCCATAATATGGACTTTTACCGAATAGAGCTATCTTCTGTATACCCCCCCCCCCCCCCCCCCCCCCCTTCCCCCCAAACTTGTCATAGCACAACTGACTCAAACGCATTGAGAAGGAAATAAATTCCACAAATTAACTTTTAAGAAGGCACACCTGTTAATGGAAATGCATTCCAGGTGACTACCTAATGAAGCTGGTTGAGAGAATGCCAGGAGTGTGCAAAGCTGTCATCAAGGCAAAGGGTGGTTATTTGAAGGATCTCAAATATAAAATATATTTTGATTTGTTTAACACTTTTTTGGTTACTACATGATTCCATATGTGTTATTTCATAGTTTTGATATCGTCACTATTATTCTACAATGTAAAAAATAGTAAAAATAAAGAAAAACCCTTGAGTAGGTGTGTCCAAACTTTTGACTGGTAGTGAATGTGTGTGTGTGTGTGTGTGTGTGTGTGTGTGTGTGTGTGTGTGTGTGTGTGTGTGAGAGAGAGAGTTGTAGTAGTTTTGTGTGGTTGTGCATGTGTGTGAGTGCAGTGTAAAGTACTTAAGTAAAAATACTTTAAAGTACTACTTAAGTCGTTTTTTGGGGTATCTGTACTTTACTTTACTATTTATATTTTTGACAACTTTTACTTTTAGTTCACTACATTCCTAAAGAAAATGACTTTTTACTCTATACATTTTCCTTGACACCCAAAAGTACTCGTTACATTTTGAATGCTTAGCAGGACAAATGGTCCAATTCACACACTTATCAAGAGAACATCCCTGGTCATCCCTACTGCCTCTGATCTGGCGGACTCACTAAACACAAATGCTTTGTTTGTAAATGATGTCTGAGTGTTGGTGTGTAACCCTGGCTATCTGTAAATAAAGGCATTTGTGCCGTCTGGTTTGCTTAATATAAGGAATTTTTAACTTTTACTTTTGATACTTAAGTCTATTTTAGCAACTACATTTACTTTTGATACTTAAGTATATTGAAAACCAAATACCTTTAGACTTTTACTCAAGTAGTATTTTACTGGGTGATTTTCACTTTTACTTGAGTCAGTTTTTGTTAAGGTATCTTTACTTTTACTCAAGTATGAGATTTGGGTACTTTCTCCACCACTGTGTGAGTGTGTGTGTGGCAGAGTGGAAGAGTTCTCACCTACGTAGTCCCCCCTGGGGACGCAGACAGACGAGGTAGTGGTGAAGACGCTCTGACTGGGAGGAGGCTCATAGCTGTCATCCTGCTCCTCTTGAGGGTCCTCATAAGTGTCAGTCTCCTGCAACATCATAATATTGTTAAGACGCTCAGCCCCACAGCTTTGTGTGATGTGAAGTGTAAACACTGTAAATCTTCTGACATAAGTCAAATGACTGTGGAAAACAATGTCAGATGCACATTTCTTTTAGAAACATTATAATATTAAGTGTTTTAGAATCAGTAAAGCATGCGGATTGAACTCACAAACTCATTTTCAGACCATTGTTCACCATCCACGTCATCACCTGTATAGATAAGTATCAAATATGAGATGCAAAGTCATTGGAAATTACAGTATTGGGAAGAGATGCATCATAGACTCCAAATCATATTCTGAACATATTGCCACAAAATATTCCTGGTCAATCTGTCCCCAAAAGCGAATTATTCTCACTATTAAATACAGTACTTCAAGGGCCACATTGTGAGACAAGAAGAAAGGTCTTACCTTGATAGTCTCTTACAGGTACTTTTGGAGCTGATTTGTTTTTAAATCTGCAGTACAGAAAGACCAGTTAGGAGTTAAAGTCAAGGTTTTAGAAACAAGAATGGACTTGACCAAGAGTGTAACTTCTTTTAGACCTTACACTTTGGGCCTGAAGAGTGATTATACACATCAAAAGTACCCCTCTCAGTTATGTCTAGTATCACAACCTGCTCATTCTGAAACCTATGTTATTTATTCATCATCAATCACACTAAATACTTTCCAGTGTTGTGCCAGTGAACGGTCCCTTTTCAAGAAGGGAAAGTGAGAGAAGAGACATCTGTCTTTCTGCTTGTCTATTTTCAGATTGAGGGACTACTTATGTTTTCCTAAAAGTTGAAGAAAGAGGAATAACCTATTTTCACCACAAAAAACATTGAAGAAAATATAGCTGCGAGCAGCAATGAACGGGGTTCACAGGATGACAGAAAGGACACAATATCAGTTAGATAACAAAGCAAGCACTCTATCATGTAGGAACTATCTTCCTTTATGTGCAATCATGAGTCTAAATACTACATCTGGATTGAATCTGATGTATGGTTCACGAGAAGATGATTTTGAGCATTAGCGTTAAATATGCAAAGAATTAGTTGTTAATAGCTTCCTTGTTGTTTGAGATATCAATACCAAATTCAGTGTGGTTCATCTTAGGGACGTCCATGATAGTGTCCATTCAAGTTGATAGGCCACTGTGGAGTGGATTTACAGTGGTTTAAATGGACATATAAAATCAAAAAAATATTTTTGATTTGTCAATTATGACACAGCCTTCTTTTGACCAACCCCTTAGCATTTCTCAAACTAAGTTAAGACATGTACCATGGGCCTACATTCTACATTTGGTGTCATTTGGTCCTATGGTTCATGAGAAGAAGCATATTAGGTATAGTGTGGCCATCTTTGAACGCATCAACATTATTTTGTCAACTCTTTACGTACTATTGTGATGAGTCCAAAGAACACATTTGGAGTGAATCTGACTTTTAGTCCATGAGAAGATTTTGTATGATTATTTTAAGCATTACCATTACATAGTTTCCTTATTTTTTAAGTGCCAATTTCAATGCCAAACTTAACATGGTCCATCATGTCTTAGATGACCCCAAATTTGGTGTTATTTAGACTTATGGTTCATGAGTAGAAGTTTTTCAAAAGTTTAAAAAAATGTCCAAGATGGGGGAAGCTCTATCCTGATGGACCTTATGGTTCCTTGAGGCAAATTTGTTCAGCATGAGGAAAGACACTTGCATACAGTTTCAAGTATAGGTCAAACTGGGCAGCAGATATGAGGGTTTAAGTGAGACTGCTTATAACAGCTCCACCTATAGGACAATCGGTGCCATTCTTTTTGACCAAGTTACTCATGGCCTCTAGTTTCTGTGTGCTTAATAAGAAAAATATGTTACCAATCTATGCTTAAGTTATTTGACCATGTCAGGGGGAAATAATTATCTAAGAATAACAATAGGTTTCACAGCTTCGCTGCTTGAACCCCCAATTATACCATGTGAGTGCACTGCACTCTCAGCTGAACTGAGCTGAATTGAGCTGAGATGTACATATTTCCAACGCCATACACACCTCTGTTCTTGTTCCCACCTATAGAGATGCAACGTGGGCTGGACTCTCATTCCTCTATACTGCATTTCAGATAAATGCCTACCGCTCCAGTCAGTGTAACTACAAATACTGAACTATGGGCACAACTGGTGTCCCTGCTAACTTGTGGGTAACAGAGAATAGTGTTGAGTAATGCTCTCTCTGTATGGAGTGTGTCAAACATTTATTTTAATAGACTGACCTTCTCAGCCTGTTCAGGATACTGCCATCATTCTTCTTGATATCCTGGACCATCTTCTGAAGCTGGCTGGAAGACACGTTTAAAGCTTCTCATTAATGTTATCCTAACATATTAAACAAAAACCATGTAATGTTCATGAACGCAATACAGGACATAACTATGAATACAATTCGGAAACAATAATAGGTGCTAGACAAAATGTTACAGCTCACACATACTGTATGTTAATACTAGAATATAGCGTGGTCTAAATATATGGATCTGGCCGAGTTTATTGCCGGCTACGGAACACTGAAAACATGTCAACTTCAACATGGAATAAAACCTTTGAGTCAACTTTCCATGTTGACTAGCACTTGGAGGTGAAGATGAACTGTAGTTGTGAGAAAAGTACACACCTATACACACTAGAACGCACTCACTCACTGTAGCCTGCATGCAATTACAGATTGAGAGCATGAGGGAGACAGGTGTGAGACGTGTAATTACAGTAACATCGACATTAGTCAGTCTTCTCTTACCACATTCCCTCTCCCTTTAAAATGTTGCATCACTAGCACTGTTTTTGATTTATGTAACAGCCAGCCAGCGCCTTCATAAAGAAAAAACAATAAACCCATTTGTACTGTTTAACTTAATCTATATGCAACATTGGATACAAATGTTTTTTTTTGTGGCCTACAATAAGCTAGAGATAAAAATTGTTGGGTAAATCTATTCTTGTGAGCATGGCAGAAAAAAATTGAACATATATACAGTATTATAAATGGTTGCCACTTCGTGTATATAATTATACTATCTATTTACTGTAGGCATTTCTTTACTTGCCACTATGTCATCTATAGAAAATAGGTCATCATTGAAACATAGCCAGAATTGAAAAAGGTTTGGTTTTGCTCTGATCACAAAGGTTAACATCTTTCCCAGTGTTACAAATACATTGCCCAGCATATAAATATGGGTATCTCTTACCGAAGTTTTCCAGTTGCAGGAGCCGTGAACTTGTTAAATGTATCCATATCTTAATGAGGCAATTGACCAGAGAGGCCACCTTCTGCGTCTAGCTACTATCCAGCTCAGTGTTTGCGTTGTGAATGAATTCACCGGCATTGGCTGCCTGCCTAAAATTACTCTACTGAACAAGTCATGCAGCAGTCAGTGATCACAGCCCATGGAAAAAAATAACACCTCTGCAAGAACAATCACTTCTCCTTTCCACTCCATGAGTTTGACCACACTGTAAATGCATTTGTCAACAAGTCTCTATTCAGATACTATGGATAGGTTTAATGAGTTCATGTTACAGGTACAACATGCATTTATATTTTGTCCTTGACATGTCTCACTTCTTCATGATCAATTTGAACAGAATGCTTGGGGGCCCTAAGCGAGATTTGGATTACCCTCTCCCACATGCCCTGTGTGCCCAGTCAGTAATTCGGTCGTGTTTACTACAAGGTTAAGATAGCTGGCTAGACTAACTTACCTAGTTATGACATAACAAGAGGAAAACTGCTGATGCACTAACAAATTTAGAAATGGCACCTTTTGTATTCTACTATTCTAGCTCTCAACTGAGTAAAAAAATAAAATAATGGTTGGGGCCCCATAGTGGCCGTTTGTGTCGCTTATTGGCTGGGCCAGCCCTGACATAACCTGGGTTTATGGACATGGAAACAGTAGACTGTAGTAGATGATAACACATTGAGGTTGATGTCTTTCTTGAATTAGGCTACCTATAAGTGAGACCTATACGAACTCACTGTTGGTCATGATATGCTTATTACTAGCCCAGTGTGGTTTTATTTAGGGCAGGGGTGTCAAACTAATTTAGCCCCCGGGGCCGCATTCGGTCTTCCACGAGGTCCGGAGGCCCGCACTGAAAATGTGTTGTATTTCCTCACTGTTAAAATGTGCAAAAATGTGTCCTTATGAGCAATATGGACACAGTCAAGAAACTGTATGAATGTAGGTCCATTATCATTTCTACACATTTTTGATTTGGTTCGCCCCCCCCAAAATGTTTTATTTTTCTAAAATGTAATCAAACCACCCGCGGGCCAGATTGGACCCCCTTGTGGGCCGCAGGATGTGTGTTTGACCCCCCTGATTTAGAGACTGGTGTGGGAGGGAGTTTGTAACTTGTAATGGCTGGCTTTCAACTTACTTTTGAAAGTTGTAATAGGGGAATGCACAAGGTGCGATTTCGAAATTGGGTAGTGGATCATCGGATTTCCTCTTTTCATGTCAGTCATTGCATACCTTAGAGAGCTATTTATAACTTGTCAGAAATGTCCAGATCAACTAGCCCATATCAGCTAACGTTTTTTAGCTAGGTTTTTTTAGCCCATATATTTTGTTGAAATGTTTGTCACTCAAATATCACATGAATAAACATTAGACATGGCAAAATGTATAGAATTGCAAGACAATTAGGCTTAAAACTGCAAAATGTTCACTGCACCCCATGACAAAATTTGTAAAATTGCAGGAAATAAGCTTTAAACCTGCAAAATCTTATCTCCGCCAACAAGAGTTCCCCAATGCTGGAAGGGGGGGCTTGAGTGAAAAAGTTTGGGAACCCCTGATCTGAAGTACCACAAGGGCCCACATAGTTATCTTATCTGTTCTTACAGTTAATAATAGGAGGGAGTGAATATGATGACAATTCTGTTTTCTGTGTCATTGGGACTGACACAATAACATTCCCACCACACAACAACTTGGCAGTTTATAAAGAGAAATATCGCCCCCTGCTGTGAACATCCTTTGATCAGCCAGCACAGTAAACAGAGAGGGGAGCCTTCACTGACATTAGTCTTTTGAATTATCTAAGGAACTGCGGTGAACCAACTGCAATTACTCTAGAGATGGAAACACCCAATGGTTGCTAAAATACTGAGTGAACATTCCCCAAAGCCACTGTTCAAAAGTTGAACAGATTACCTGATGCTTTCTCTGTACAATATACAGTCTGTTGGACATTAGGGGATATTTTCAATAAGGGTTCTAGTCAGGGTTTAAGCATTGTTATTACATGGTATTAGGCTCAATTTACAGTGGAACATATGTGTGATTGAACTTGCAAATTGCATGGGTTGACAGTGCACTGTAGGCTACTGTATTAATGATAAAAGTCAAATAGCTCATGTTCCTATTTTCAGGGGGTTGAATTGTTAGACTGTTCTGTTTCTGTTTGTGGGGTAATGTGTTCTGTCAAATGTGTGATAATATGAACATTGAACCTGTTCGTGACCTCTTATACAAGCCTACCCACTAGCCACAAGCCTACCCATATGAGCAGAAATTAGACATAGCCTATAGTACACTATTGTTAATCCTAAGCAAGTACGGTTTCTGTTTATGATTTACATACCTTGTCAGTTGACTCATGTTTCTTATTCAGTAGAGTAGCTATCTCTAGAGCTGTGGTTAGTTTTCCAGGAAGTGTATTGACAATATTAACTACATTATTTCAACACTAGTAGATCCTAATCAGTAGGGGAGCCCATTTTACATTTACCTCTAAAGCTCTGGCTCCCTAATAATCCATCTGATTCCTCATCAGATATCAAACAAACTAAACAATAGAACAACAATAGAAAGACTGAAACAAGGCAAGGCAATCATGAACGCGTATGAGGCTCAATTCTGGAATTGCTTATGCAACTTCCTAATTGCAAAAGCTTATGTTTAACCACATGAAAACGGGAACTCATAAGGAAAGAGTTCACAATAAATGTATTAGCCTACTAAAATAGACTGAACATTTTCACCTCAGAGGGACAAACGTGTGTTGAGAGAGGCACACACGCACGTGCGCGCACACACACACACACACACACACACACACACACACACACACCTGCTTTGCAGTGCTCTCTTGGTACTCACCTCAAAGGCCTCAGCTATCTGCTGTGTTCACATGAGGGAAGAACACGAGAGAGGAGCACAGAGAGAGTAGTATGTGAGAGAAATAGAAGAGAGAGTTACTCACGGTTGGTGGATGAGGCTGAACCTGCTCATGTCACTGTCAGACAGATTCTGTCAAAGTAAGAGAAGCAGAAAAATACAAGATAAGTAGAAGATTTTTACAAATCTGTGTGTTCTTTACAAGTTGTCTGTTTCATACTGTAATTGAATGGTTCTTATGTTGGGTTTTGCTAAATAACATTACAACCTGTAATTACATTACAATGTTGCTCCAGTTATGGAATGTATCACTTTGTAACGTACACTAGATGGCAGCATGATGCTAAAACAGCCAAAAGCCTTTGAAGCCTGCTTTTAATATGACAATGATTGTTATTTTATTGCCCTACTTGTGTGCCCTTGATCTGGTGCAGATTACAATCAATCTTATTTTGTCCCTAATTTGATTACTAAATATATCATTCCAGTGCCTTGTGACGTTACCTTTGAAAAAAATTACAATGATATTTCTGAATGTCTACTCACGTCCCTCAATAAATTGTATTTTCATGGTTTTCTTTGAAGGGAAGCAGTTGCCCTGAATTCCAAAGTAGAATTACACAAAATATAAGATATGCTCTAAATCCTGCTAAATTATGTATTTCTCTCTTCATTCATAATTGATTGCTTCAGGGTCCTCCTTTGGTCTCACACTCTCCCCTTTCTTGTTATCCCTTGCTTGTATTGGGTTGAATTGATTTTCAGCATAATTAACTTTAGTAAGCAGGTTCATGATTGAATCATCTGTAAATCAGTCAGATTACTTAATATGAAAGAGGCATCACCTTCCTCACAGAGAAACCTACATTTACATTTTAGTCATTTAGCAACTTACAGTTAGTGAGTGCATACATTTAAATGTTTTGTTTTTCATACAGGCCCCCCATGGGAATCGAACCCACAACCCTGGCGTTGCAAGCGCCATGCTCTACCAACTGAGCTACACAGACCCCCACGCACATCAAGGTGCACACTTGATAATTTAACTTGCTTATAGGAGGAAAAACGTCTCCACCTTTATGACACTGAATAAAATATCAAATATTTCGCCTGAGTGCCTTTTCATATGCTGCTTCCTGATTGAATTATTTATGGCAAGTTTCTCCCGGTGTTTGAATGAAACACAAAAGGCCTATGCCCTGCAACCACTCCTGCATATTGAAGACCAGCAGTCCCCACTACTAGGTTCTGAAGACTTGTTTGAAATCTAAATCAGCTCGAGGAAAGAGAGAGAGGTGGAACCACAGTCTGACCCAGCCTGCCATCCCCTAAAATCAACATAGCATCTCAACTTTTTTCATTTAGCACTCTGCCAAGGAAATACGGGAGGATCTCAGACCTCAATGATAGTGTTGTTATCTCCCTCTGTTACAAGACACTTGCCTTCTCTCCAACCAGATCTCCCATGCCTCACATTCTAAAATACCCCTCTGCTGAGTGAAGTAAGGCACTCCACATCACCACCATATAAAGTACAGCGAGGCATTTTGAACTGCTACAGCTTCAAACACCATCCAGGACTCGCTACTACCCACACATGGTGTGGAAAGACTGACCCTCTGCCGTCCTGCCCTCTGTTGTGCCTGTGGAGATATGATGATATGTCATTTGGGAAACATGAGAGAAAAGACCTGCTCACTTTCTAAGAGCTGCATGTCAATATGTCAAATTATGGTTAAGGTTATAAATACCACATGAATATGCAAATCCATCTAAAGGCACCCTCAGCACCAGCACAGGCTGACACACAGAGGTCATGCAGCACGACAAGCGCAGGTCCTCTCTGCCCTCTTTACAGTGGTTTCTATATAGCACCAAAAAGGGATAGGCTATCAATATGAGCCAAAGAACCCTTATTTGGAACTATATAGAACCATTTTCTTTTAAGTGTGTAGCATGACACTCTTCAACAGCTCCTAGCAACCTGTTAGCAACATGGACATGGGTCTTTCTATAAATAATGGGACCAATGTGTGAGATTGGGATACACATTTCAAAATAATTTGAAACAAAAACATGTTTTATGCAGTTCAACATTGTACTTTGAGGAATAAAAGTGAATATATGCAAATTGGCCCATAACTCCGCCTATACAACAACATAGGCCTAGGACTGACTAGACATCCTTTAAGCTGGGTTCATACAGACATTGGCAAGTCAAATTCAAGGACTTTCAGGGAATCTTTCAAGCACTTATTTGTAATCTTCAAGGACCTCATTGTTATACAATTGTTTGTATAATTTATCTAATTGTGCATACAGTACAGGGCCTAATATAGAACCCCACTCCCCCAAAACATCATGCAAAAAGTGTCAAATAAAAAGTAGGCCATTACCACTTTAACAATAATGCATTTTTTAGGCCTTGATATTTAATGATTATGACATTCTAAAATATGTGTGAATAATGTGGACCTTTGCCTGACTAAATAGATTGGATGCATGCAATGGCGATTTTTCTGTAGCCTATGACACACATAATAAACACATGAATAGCTGTGGCATTAATCTCACCATTGATGTTTTACAATGAGAGAGTTAGCAAAAACCAGGTTCCTTTTTTAATGGAAGGATTTGTATGAATGCCAAGTTGAAGCCAACATTAGATGTTGGCGTCCTCATAATAAATCACATCAAATCAAATCAAATGTTATTTGTCACAATGCGCCGAATACAACAGTGAAATGCTTACTTACAAGCCCTTAACCAACAATGCAGTTTTTAGAAAAATAAGTGTTAAGAAAGTATTTGCTAAAATAAACTGAAGTAAAAAAAAAATAAATGCTAACAAAAAAAGAAGAAAAATAGAAAGATAACAAATAATTAAAGAGCAACAATAAAATAACAGTAACGAGGCTATATACAGGGGGTACTGGTACAGAGTCAATGTGCGGGGGCACAGGTTAGTCGAGGTAATTGAGGTAATATGTACATGTAGGTAGAGGTAAAGTGAATATATATAGATAATAAACAGAGAGCAGCAGCAGCGGGTCAATGCAAATAGTCTGGGTAGCCATTTGATTAGCTGTTCAGGAGTCTTATGGCTTGTGGGTAGAAGCTGTTAAGAAGCCTTTTGGACCTAGATTTGGTGCTCTGGTATCATTTGCCGTGCTGTAGCAGAGAGAACAGTCTATGAATAGGGTTGGTGGAGTCTTTGGCAATTTTTATGGCCTTCCTCTGACACCGCCTGGTATAGAGGTCCTGGATGGCAGGAAGCTTGGCCCCAGTGATGTACTGGGCCGTACGCACTACCCTCTGTAGTGCCTTGCGGTCGGAGGCCGAGCAGTTGCCATACCAGGTGGTGATGATCTCGATGGTGCAGCTGTATAACTTTTTGAGGATCTTATCAGTCTCCTGAGGGGAATAGGCATTGTCGTACCCTCTTCACGACTGTCTTGGTGTGTTTGGACCATGATAGTTCGTTGGTGATGTGGACACCAAGGAACTTGAAGCTCTCAACCTGCTCCACTACAGCCCCGTCCATGAGAATGGGGGCGTGCTCGGCCGTCCTTTTCCTGTAGTCCACAATCATCTCCTTTGTCTTGATCACGTTGTTATCCTGGCACCACACGGCCAGGTCTCTGACCTCCTCCCTATAGGCTGTCTCATCGTTGTTGGTGATCAGGCCTACCACCGTTGTGTCGTCGGCAAACTTAATGATGGTGTTGGAGTCGTGCTTGGCCATGCAGTCATGGGTGAACAGGGAGTACAGGAGGGGACTGAGAACGCACCCCTGAGGGGCCCCCGTGTTGAGGATCAGTGTGGCAGATGTGTTGTTACCTACCCTTAACACCTGGGGGTGGCCCGTCAGGAAGTCCAGGATCCAGTTGCAGAGGGAGGTGTTTAATCCCAGGGTCCTTAGCTTAGTGATGAGCTTTGAGGGCACTATGGTGTTGAACGCTGAGCTGTAGCCAATGAATAGCATTCTCACGTAAGTGTTCCTTTTGTCCAGGTGGGAAAGGGCAGTGTAGAGTGCAATAGAAATTGCATCATCTGTGGATCTGTTGGGGCGGTATGCAAATAGGAGTGGGTCTAGGGTTTCTGGGATAATGGTGTTGATGTGAGTCATGCCCAGCCTTTCAAAGCACTTCATGGCTACAGACGTGAGTGCTACGGGTCGGTAGTCATTTAGGCAGGTTACCTTGGTGTTCATGGGCACAGGGACTATGGTGGTCTGCTTGAAACATGTTGGTATTACAGACTCGGGAGAGGTTGAAAATGTCAGTGAAGACACTTGCCAGTTGGTCAGCGCATGCTCGGAGTACACGTCCTGGTAATCCATCTAGCCCTGTGGCCTTGTGAATGTTGACCTGTTTAAAGGTCTTACTCACATCAGCTATGGAGAGTGATCACACAGTCGTCCGGAACAGCTGGTGCTCTCATGCATGCTTCAGTGTTGCTTGCCTCGAAGCACGCATAGAAGTAATTTCGCTCGTCTGGTAGGCTCGTGTCACTGGGCAGCTCACGGCTATGCTTCCCTTTGTTGTCCTTAATAGTTTGCAAGCCCTGCTATATCCGACAAGTGTCGGAGCCGGTGTAGAAGCATTCAATCTTAGTCCTGTATTGATGCTTTGCCTGTTTGATGGTTCGTCGGAGGGCATAGCGGTATTTCTTATAAGCGTCCAGGTTAGAGTCCCGCTCCTTGAAAGCGGCAGCTCTACCCTTTAGCTCAGTGCGGATGTTGCCTGTAATCCATGGCTTCTGGTTGGGGTATGTACGTACGGTCACTGTGGGGACGACGTCATCGAAGCACTTATTGATGAAGCCAGTGACTGATGTGGTGTACTCCTCAATGCCATCGGAACATATTCCAGTTTGTGCTAGCAAAACAGTCCTGTAGCTTAGCATCTGCATCATAACCTCAAGAGTAGCGCAACACCCTTCAATTGAAGTGCCGGGAAACAAATGAAAGTGGCCACATCTCTCACAAAAACGGATCAAAAATGAAATCAAACATAACTGTAAGGGAGCAGGAGAATGTATAAATAGGCTACACTAATTACAAGGAAATTGAGAAAATGTCTGATTTTCTAGGTAGGCCTATTCCATGAGCCTACTTGAAATTCTGAGATTCAAGTTCAAGTAGAATACTACTTCAATTCCGTTATATTGTTTAAAATTGCAGGTGTAACATGGAAAACAACATGTATTTGTCATGTTATTTTATTACCATATCAAGGGCCTGATCACCGACGGCAACGAGACAGCCTAAAGGGAGGAGGTTAGAACCCTGGCAGAGTGGTACCAGGAAAACAGCCTCTCCCTCAATGTCAGCAAAACCAAGGAGCTGACCGTGGACTACATAAAACAGGGGGAGCACGCCCCTATTGTCATCGACAATGGAGAGGGTCAAAAGCTTCAAGTTCCTCAGCGTGCACTTAACAGACTTGACATGGTCCAATCACAGCACCACTGACGAATAGTAATTTGATTGGATTTGCACTGTTTACAATAACAGGGTGAACCATTGTCATAATAGCAGTAGAGAATCATCTTGATCACAAACTAGCTCCAAAGCTAGTTTAGTGTTTTTAGTCTGTACACTGAATGGGAAAACGGATACTAGGGCAGTGATTGGGGATTATTTGTCTGTCTCATTTTGAGTTTCATCCTCAGAGCTCCAGAGCTTGAATATGGCAAGTTGGCATTACAGAGAGTGCTGCAAACTATGAAGCTTGAAAAAAAATGGGGTTACTAGAGTCTTAGCTGATCCCAGGTGTTCTGACTAGATCAATAAATGCCAGATCAATCAATACATGTAGACCTATGTGCATGCTTTAGATCTGGTCTGGTAACTCTCACATCAAAAGTGAATCCTTTGAAACATTCATGACTTTGATTGATTCACCTTGAAATCCCCATTGCCCTTATTTAGGGGAGTTAAAACTAGCTTGGAGACATGGATGGACAACTTGAAAGTAAATGTTCAGCTTGTCAAAATCCCTCATACGTAGTATGGCTGTGGCATCCTACCTCCAAATGAAAGCTGTGCAGAGTCACTGAATAATGCATAGAAAACTAGATAGTAAAGCTCACATAACAAAATCCTTAGATGACAAGAACTCCTTAGTCATTGCCATGACGTATGAGTTTTCAGCATGTTACCTAGACAAGCAGCTCTCCCAGAATGCAGAGCACATGAATAAATCATTCACACATTTAAACAGGTAAATCCTTAACTAGCAGCGGAAATAGGCTACACTTTAACGGTATTGCACACTTTACATTACAATAGCCAATACTTAACTTGTTAATGAAAACAAAGACATTATTGTATTAACATTAGCGTTTCTCATATAAAATGAAAACACAGGTGAAACCAAATAAAGAGGCCTACCTAGAACCTTGTTCAACAGCAGTGGTGAGTAGGCCTAGTTGGTGATACCAAACAAAAGCCCAAATGGTCAATATTTATAAATAGCTCAATTATAATGGTAACCAGACTCTGGCGTTTGTGTTCACTCAATGTAGGCTATAAAGCACAGTGTTTGATGGGACTAGCGATAGCATATAGCAAGAAATGTTTGTACAATACAATCGTCTGTTAATGTGGTTAGAAATGGGGGGAATGTCCCACAATGTTACTAAATACTGTAGTGCTGTGGCATTCTCAAAGTGGAAGTTAATTTGAGGCCTCACTATTTATGTCATTCTGGGAAGTAAAGGTGGAGATTTTTTTAAACTAATAATGGGTCACTTCCTGTAAACTTTCCACAGACTGTCAACTTTTGACTATTGCTTTACCCTGTCTCATATGCTCAGCATACTGCTGGGAATTCCAATATGGCCGTTATGCATTTCGAAAGGATTGGACGTTTTTGTCTTGCAAATCTCATGTTTACCAACGATGTTGAAAACCTGTCAGATTTTGTCTCCCCTAAATGAACAATACCAGTTAATTAACAAGGATTTAGTGAAAATGGATAAATAAGGTCCACTAATTTCAGCAATCTATGGCTGAAAGTAGCATTAGGAAATTGTAATTATTGCACTCCGTTCAAGGCCATAATTGCTGTACGAATTGGAAGGGAATTTAGAGTCCATGTCCATTGTCTGCTCTCACATCATTAGAAAACCAAACTGAATTTGTCCATAAGCCAAAAGTTATTATGTACCTTTTGATATCAAATTATGTGTGTTTGTTGTGGTTTGGTGATAAAATGTTGTGGTAGTATTGGTAGTAGTATTCAGGTAATATTGAGAGAGTGTATAAAAAAATAACTTACCATAAACCTCTGCCCATCAATCCTCATTCTTTTAACAGTTGCAGCACATTCGTGCATTTGATTCTGAAAGCAGTATGACATACATCCTAATGATTAACACATCATTTGCTGTGGTTTGGTGAATTAATTCAGTTGCATACAATAATGTGGTTGTTCTTTACTCATTGGTGTAACTAGGAGTACCTTCCCAAAATAAACACACACACAGTTCCTTTGGGATACCACAGAGATAATTTCTCCTCCCACTCACCTGGCACAGTAAGCTGGCCACCTGAGCTGAACTCCAGTCCTCACACCGCTCCCTGGTCGGCAGGTTCATCACTGTCACCACCAAAGGGAGATCTGAAGTCCAGGCTCTAATGGGAAGTGTGGACTGACCTCTTTCTCGCACCACGACTCCACTACAGCACTCAAGTCCCACATCAGGAAGTGGACTAGGGGGAGGAGGGGAGGTCATCTCTCACTGGGGCTGGCCATTCTCTCGCTCTCTCGCTCTCTATCTCTCTCTCTTTCTCTCTCGTGCTCTAAAAAAGTAATATTTTTGAAACAAATTTCACTTAATCTGCAGGGAGAAAATGGGAAATAAAAGCTTCCTCAAAGTCAAAGTGAGAAATTACTTTTGAAAGTGAACTTTTATTAGCTACATGACACAATATTGCATGACAACGTTCTCCGTTTTACAGATGAGGCTGACCTCATTTATATTTAGCCAACCTGTATGTGTCTAAAAGTGTCATGTTTCACTTCAACAGAAACTTCATAATGACAGCCCACTCAGTGTCTGACACCACAGCCCTTGTCACCAAAAGACAAAGCAGAAGAAACACTCTCCAAACTCCATTACAATTGACAACAACAACCTTGCTGTTTTTTGCTCAACAATCAGTCACTTTCAATACAGCTGAAAAAAACTAAGCAATTTCTTTCAGTGAGACAATTATGTAGGGGGTAGGGGGAAGGCTTATTGTTGTAACATCTCCAATATATAATACACATAAAAATGGAATGAAATAATTGATTCAGGTCATATAATGTAAATGTAAAATATAATTTAATTAGACAAAGCCTGGCCTGTGACACTACTTAACCCATCAAGTATCAGGCTAATGAAAGTTCTAATGTGGCTTGAATACATTCCGTCAGGTGGACAGGCTGGTAGCCCCATTGGTGGGTTCACTCTGATCAAGGCATGCTTGCTTAAGTGAAACATTAAACACTGTGCTGGGTCACCACATGCCTTGACATCCACTGGTGTGTTTTATGTATTTTGTTTAGAGCTCTTTACATTCAGATATTATTATGTGGTAACAGATACCGTAATATATGCTATTGCACATACATTATATATACAAAAGTATGTGGACACCCCTTCAAATTAGTGGATTCGGCTATTTCAGCCACACCGTTGCTGACAGCTCTATAAAATCGAGCACACCGCCATGCAATCTCCATAGACAAACATTGGCAGTAGAATGGCCTTACTGAAGAGCTCAGTGACTTTCAACGTGGCACCGTCATAGGAGGCCACCTTTCCAACAAGTCAGTTTGTCAAATTTCTGCCCTGCTAGAGCTGCCCCGGTCAACTGTAAGTGCTGTTATTGTGAAGTGGAAACTTCTAGGAGCAACAATGGCTCTGCCGCGAAGTGGTAGACCACACAAGCTCACAGAACAGGACCACTGAGTGCTGAAGCATGTAAAAATCGTCTGTCCTCAGTTTCAACACTCACTACCGAGTACCAAACTGCCTCTGGAAGCAACGTCATCACAAGAACTGTTCATCGGGAACTTCATGAAATTAGTTTTCATGGCTGAGCAGCCGCACACAAGCCTAAGATCACCATATGCAATGCCAAGCGTCAGCTGGAGTGGTTTAAGGCTCGCCGCCATTGGAATCTGGAGCAGTGGAAACGTGTTCACTGGCGTGATGAGTCACGCTTCACCATCTGGCAGTCCGACGGACAAATCTGGTTTTGGCGGATGCCAGGAGAACGCTTCCTGCCCTAATGAATAGTGCCAATTGTAAAGTTTGGTGGAGGAGGAATAATGGCCTGGGGCTATTTTTCATGGTTCGGGCTAGGCCTCTTTGTTCCAGTGAAGGGAAATCTTAACGCTACAGCATACAATGACATTCTAGACAATTCTGTGCTTCCAACTTTGTGGCAACAGTTTGGGAAAGGCCCTTTCCTGTTTCAGCATGACAATGCCCCTGTGCACAAAGCGAGGTCAATACAGAAATGGTTTGTCAAGATCGGTGTGGAAGAACTTGACTGGCCTGCACAGAGCCCTGACCTCAACCCCATCGAACACCTTTGGGATGAATTGGAATGCCGACTGCGAGCCAGGCCTAATTGCCAATCATCAGTGCCCGACCTCACTAATGCTCTTCTGGCTGAATGGAAGCAAGTCCCCGCAGCAATGTTCCAACATCTAGTGGAAAGCCTTCCAAGAATAGTGGAGGCTGTTATAGCAGCAAAGGGGGGACCAACTCCATATTAATTCTCATGATTTTGGAATGAGATGTTCGACAAGCTTACTTTTGGTAATATAGTGTATTTACAATATTGCAAATCAGTAAATACTTATGTAACATGCGTTACAGTGAAAGTTTGAAGTGAAAATGAAATTAAACATTGCCCCTAAAATAAATTATGAAACTGTGTTTTTATCTCAATATCAAATCATCTTTGGGTAACAATTAAGTACCTTACTGTGATTCATTTCTGTTAAAATGGTCAAAAAGAAAAATAAAAAAAATCTTAGCAAAGAACAATTTCTCAAGCAAGAATTTTGCTAAGACTATCTTGGAATGGTCTGAGTGGGGAGGGGAAAACTGAAAACTAGCTGGAACAGTAAACTGGCCAACTGAGCTGAACTCCAGTCCTCACAATGCTCCCTGGTCGGCAGGTTCATCACTGTCACCACCAAAGGGAGATCTGAAGTCCAGGCTCTAATGGGAAGTGTGGACTGACCTCTTTCTCGCACGATGACTCCACTACAGCACTCAAGTCCCACATCAGAAAGTGGACTAGGGGGAGGAGGAGAGGTTATCTCTCACTGGGGCTGGCCATTCTTTCGCTCTCTCGCTCTCTAGGTCTCTCTCTTTCTCTCGTGCTCTAAGAAAGTAATATTTCTGAAACAAATTTCAAGGAGAAAATGGGAAATAAAAGCTTCCTCAAAGTCAAAGTGAGAAATTACTTTTGAAAGTGGACTTTTATTAGCTACATGACATAGTATTGCATGACAACGTTCTCCGTTTTACAGAGGAGGCTGACCTCATTTATATTTAGCCAACCTGTATGTGTCTAAAAGTGTCATGTTTCACTTCAACAGAAACTTCATAATGACAGCCCACTCAGTGTCTGACACCACAGCCTTTGTCACCAAAAGACAAAGCAGAAGAAACACTCTCCAAACTCCATTACAATTGACAACAACAACCTTGCTGTTTTTTGCTCAACAATCAGTCACTTTCAACACAGCTGAAAAAAACTAAGCAATTTCTTTCAGTGAGACAATTATGTAGGGGGTAGGGGGAAGGCTTATTGTTGTAACATCTCCAATATATAATACACATACAAATGGAATGAAATAATTGATTCAGGTCATATAATTTAATTACCAACATATTCATTGTGAGTCAGATGAGAACGAAGAGTAATCGTTGAAATCTGACAGGAGCTGGGTGTGAACTGTGAATGTGCCGGCTGAGTCTTTGCGAGTGTATGTGTATTTCATCAGGTCACACTGTTGGACTTGGGCCAGCAAGGCACACAGCTGAGCGATCAGGAGGGAAGTGGGCAGACAATTAGACAAAGCAGGGCCTGTGACACTACTTAACCCTCAAGCATCAGGCTAATGAGAGTTGTAATGTGGCTTGAATACATTCCGTCAGGTGGACAGGCTGGTAGCCCCATTGGTGGGTTCACTCTGATCAAGGCATGCTTGCTTAAGTGAAACATTAAACACTGTGCTGGGTCACCACATGCCTTGACATCCACTGGTGTGTTTTATGTATTTTGTTTAGAGCTCTTTACATTCAGATATTATTATGTGGTAACAGATACCGTAATATATGCTATTGCACATACACTATATATACAAAAGTATGTGGACACCCCTTCAAATTAGTGGATTCGGCTATTTCAGCCACACCAGTTGCTGACAGCTCTATAAAATCGAGCTCACCGCCATGCAATCTCCATAGACAAACATTGGCAGTAGAATGGCCTTACTGAAGAGCTCAGTGACTTTCAACGTGGCACCGTCATAGGAGGCCACCTTTCCAACAAGTCAGTTCGTCAAATTTCTGCCCTGCTAGAGCTGCCCCGGTCAACTGTAAGTGCTGTTATTATGAAGTGGAAACTTCTAGGAGCAACAATGGCTCTGCCGTGAAATGGTAGTGGTGTAAGGCTCGCCGTGGTGAGTCACGCTTCACCATCTGGCAGTCCGACTGACAAATCTGGTTTTGGCGGATGCCAGGAGAACGCTTCCTGCCCTAATGAATAGTGCCAATTGTAAAGTTTGGTGGAGGAGGAATAATGGCCTGGGGCTTTTTTTCATGGTTCGGGCTAGGCCTCTTTGTTCCAGTGAAGGGAAATCTTAACGCTACAGCATACAATGACATTCTAGACAATTCTGTGCTTCCAACTTTGTGGCAACAGTTTGGGGAAGGCCCTTTCCTGTTTCAGCATGACAATGCCCCCGTGCGCAAAGCGAGGTCCATACAGAAATGGTTTGTCGAGATCGGTGTGGAATAACTTGACTGGCCTGCACAGAGCCCTGACCTCAACCCCATCGAACACCTTTGGGATGAATTGGAACGCCGACTGCGAGCCAGGCCTAATTGCCAATCATCAGTGCCCGACCTTACTAATGCTCTTCTGGCTGAATGGAAGCAAGTCCCCGCAGCAATGTTCCAACATCTAGTGGAAAGCCTTCCAATAAGAGTGGAGGCTGTTATAGCAGCAAAGGGGGGACCAACTCCATATTAATTCTCATGATTTTGGAATGAGATGTTTCGACGAGCAGGTGTCCACATACTTTTGGTAATATAGTGTATTTACAATATTGCAAATCAGTAAATACTTCTGTAACATGCGTTACAGTGAAAGTTTGAAGTGAAAATGAAATAATCATTGCCCCTAAAATAAATTATAAAACTGTGTTTTTATCTCAATGTCAAATCATTTATGGGTAACAATTAAGTACCTTACTGTGATAGTTTTTTGTTAAAATGGTCCAAAAAAATATATATATATTTATCTTAGCAAAGAACAATTTCTCAAGCAAGAATTTTGCTAAGACTATCTTGGAATAGCT